CCTTGACTTGGTGTTGTCAGCACCACGCTCACCCAGTGAGCCAACCGGCCATCCCTATATAGGATCTGAACCCGTGGCCTTGGTGTTATCAGAACCGCACTTTCCCGAGTGAGCCACGGGCCAGCCCCATTTGTCCAGTTTGGTGTGAGCCACGGGCCGGCCCCTTTTGTCCAGTTTGGCATGGAGATAAATGGACTGGGATGGTGGCAGTGAAGATAGAATTGGACAATAGGAGAGATAATTTGGTGATATAACCAGGAAGAACTACTAATGGGTCTGATGTAGGAAAGGAGGAGTCAAGAGTGATTTTACTAATTTTGGCTTGAACAATTGAGTTGGTGTTGCTATTTACAGAGGTGGGGAAGACCGGAGAATGACTAGTGAGGAGGGATGAAGTGGAAATATCAGCAGAGGCCGTCTGATATGAGCCTGCAACTCAGGGGGGAATGTCTAGTCTAGGAATACAAATTTAGAATCATCAACAGACTTAAAGCCATGGGTCTGGAAGTGAACACTTGGATGAGAGATCAGAAAGTGAAGTGGTCTAGGACTGGACTCTGATGCACTACTCATGATGCATTTAGAGGTAGGTGGGGGAGGAACCAGTAAAGGAAAACATTAGGAGGAGGAGCTATCGAAGTGGGGAAAATCAGGATTATGTGGTGCTAGGGAGAAGCCAGGAGAGGAAGCAGGCCTGGCCAACTAGATGGAAGCTCCTGAAGGTATAGAAACAAAAAAAAAATCCATCGTTTTTATCAACCTAGAGGACGATAGAAACCTTGATAAGAGCAGCTTCAGAGAGTGATAGGGACAGAAATCTGATCAGAATAACCAATATTAGACTAGAATAGATTGGGAAGTGAGAAAGTGTAGACAGTGTAGACAAGTGTTGATATGAAAGGGAAAGGAGGTAGGTGAAAATAATGTAGGGGGTCAAGGGAGTTTTTATTTTGTTTTTTGAAAGGGGAGACAGAAGCATGCTTGCATATAGATTGAACAGTTCAGTAGAGGAGGAGAGATTCATGGTACAGGAGAGAGACAAAGTCCATGAAAAGGTAAAAGGGTTTATGTAGGATCCAGTGCATGAGGGAGGGATTTCTCCTTAATAAGAGCAGAGACATCTTTATTGCAACAGAAGGAAAGATAGATAACATAGAGTATTTTTTTTTTGGTGGCTGGCTGTCTGGTATGGAGATCCAAATCCTTGGCCTTGGTGTTACAATACTGTGCTCTAACCAACTGAGCTAACTGGCCAGTCTCACACAGGGTGTTTGAAGGAAGTTTATAGATCTGATGGTAGGATAATAAGTTCCCCTTTGAAGTTTTCTATTTTCTCACTGGAGTGTGAGGTCAGGTCATCAGCTGAGAGGAAGGGGCCTATATGAGAGAAACTAGGGAGGGGAAGGCTTGAAAAGAGAGGGCAGAATATGAAAGACATCTCTGAGAGTGGGAACTTACTAAGAAACTTGATAGATTGGAGGTTTCTTGTCATTAGTTTAAAATAAAATGCGTCATCTACTCTCTCTCCCTCCCTTCTTTCTCCTCTGATACTTGGGGCCCAGTGAGACAGGAGTCTAGGCAAGGCGGCTAGGCAACATTTGAAGTACTTTTTGAAGTATCCTCATATATATATAAAACTGTCAATAATGGGAGCTGGGTTTTCTTACTGTGAGAGAAGGGAGGAAGAAACATGGGAGAGGGAACGCTACCACAATGACCTGCTGTGGAAATCCAAGGGAGACTTTTTAGCTCTGGTTCCCCTTGACTTTGACAGATGTTGAACTTTCCTCCCTTCTTCAAATGCTCCTTCTTCATTTGCTTCTGTGACATCACATGTCCCTACCTGCTCCTGATCATTTATCCTGTCATTTCCTGTTTTTTTTTCTTCTCCTAAATATTGGTGCTCAGTAGGCTTTATCCATTGTTAGATTTTCTTCCTACACGTCTTCCCTGGGCATCACTCATTCTCATGGCTTCAATTAAATCTATACGCAAGTGATTCCCAAAACATTATCTCCATCCCAGATCTCTCTCCTGAGCTCCAGACTCCAATATATTTCTCTGCTGGTCATCTCCATTGAGATGTCCAACAGGTTATGATTCAACATGCCAAAATTTAAACTGTTTTCTACTCCAACCTCCTGCTGGATTCTCCATGTTAGTGAACAGTATCATCACTTGATCGCCCAAGGGAGAAACATGGGCATGAGCATGGCCTTTGCTGTTCCCTCCACACTTCACTGTCCTTGACCTGGTTCAGACTAACCATGTCTCTTCCCTGGACCCTGAGACAGCCTCCTGCCTGGTCTTTCTGCTTTTGGTTTTTACTTTGCCCACCCATAATCCCCAAACTTCAAGTTTCATGTAACAAAGTATACAGAGCACACACCGTACCGGACCGGGGACCGGCAACGGGATCGCAACCCTCGGTGTTGCTCCCGTGCCTCGCTCAGCCAGTGAGCAGGAACCGGTCTGTATGTGGGATCCGAACCCTCGGGCGGGAGCGCTGCCGCGCTTCCCAAGCGGCGCACTATCCAGTGCACCACCGGGCCGGCCCCCCATTGGTTTCTTGAACTCCCTCTGATCCAGTCTCTCGGGGGCCCTCATATTCTCTGCAGCTGTCAGCTCTGGTTGTCAGGCATTCAATCCATCTAGTCACACTCTAGAATCTAGGTAAAGCCTTGATGGCATTGCTGAGACTATAATCCTGGGACCCAGATCCCAGGGCCATCACTCTTTCTACATAAAAATAATAATGCTGAAACACTAGATATGCTTATCATAAAAAAGGTGATTATCAGAATGAAAACACTGGCCAGGACAGAATAATCTAATGGTATTTTATTTCTTATAAATTCCTCTCACTTCAGTTTCAACTATTTGGAAAGATTTGGTCACAGATTTCTATTCTAAAAACTGGAATCAAATATGGATAAGCAAGGTATAGTATGTAAGGGATTTTTACAACTTTAAAGGGTGATCTACCCCAAAGATCTTGCCTCTTAACTGTAAACTGCCCAGTTATTGTTTTTTCCCTCCCAAAAGAAAATCATTGTTGAGTGGGAAAAGATCATTGACACAGGACAACATGTAGAAATTAGAACACTTTATTATAAATATTTCTAGAATATAAACTGATTTTTTAATCAAGTCTTTGAAACTTTTAAAGCTATATGTAACCTAAGCTTATTATTATAATGTATTTCATTTTCCAGTTTCCAACCTAGCAAGTACACTGCAAGTTAGATCTAACAAAGGAAAATAAATCTATATTGCTTCCTAGAGAAAACCAATGAACAGAAAATCACCCAACTCAAAACTAAAACAAACCCAATCAAGAAACAGATTCTGCAAAATCTATTAATCCTCCAACTTAAAGTAAGTGACCTCCCAAGGGAAAACAAATCCATCATCATAGCAATTTGATGAATAAAAGTACAGCCACCCTCATTACGGGAAATTACCTTATATGTAAGAAAAATGTAATAACGTTTCTAGAAAATGAGAAAAAGTATCTCCGTATTGGAGAGCAAGCATACTAAGTACTTGTGTTCACCTGGCCTTAGTTAGAAGTTAAAGTACCTCTTCACATAAGCAAAGTGATATGAACATGAACATCACAAACAAGCTCAACTATTTTTTCAATTTAACCTCACAGGAAAATCAACTAAAGAGCTTCAAAATCCAAGGATAGACTGGTCCCAAAGCATTTCCTCCTCTGTCTTTTCTTTGCCTTGTTCCTTTTTCTCTTTTCTATGCTTACGTCCCTCTTTCTTAGAGGCTGTATCTCGGTGTTTTTTCTCCTTTCGATGCTTAAGCTTTTCTGTACTGACCTGTACAGTTTCTGCTTCCACCTCTGTTTTCTTTCTTTGAATGCTCTCGTGTTTGTCTAAATCCATTTCCTCATGTCTTTTCCTCTTATGCTTGGGCCGCTCCTCCTCTGGTTTTCCTCTGCCTTCCTCTGGGTTCCTTTTCCTCTTCCGATGTATCTGTTTATGACTGGCTTGATGGGCACTGGTACTATTTTCTGAGTAGAGGGGCTTATAACCCCCAGATTCTACACTATATGAGCCACACTTATATTCTTGCTGACTAAGGTTCAGGGGTACTGGTTTTTCGGAGAAACAGTCCCTGGTTAATTGATAGTAGCTGAGAGAGTCTAGTCTTAACCTGCTGTCATGAGCTGGTAACCACTGAGGTAACCGGTTTTCCACTGTTTGTGAAATATTGCATGACCTTGGGTAGGTCTGGACGGTTTCTGATGAGAGTCTTTGATCAAACATTCTATACCTGGGTCTGGAATCAACCTGTTCTTTGTACCCACAGGTTTCCCAACAGTCCTCTCTCATCTTTCTAAAACAAGTTTTTGGCTCTAAGCCTCTGGCTTTCTGTACTTTAATATAATCTTCAAGTTCATCTTGAAAAGAGTCAGATGTCTTCTGTGAATGCTTCATTAGGTTGACAAAAAGGGATTCTCTGCAGAGAAGATGGGAGAAAATTCTTACTTGATTATTTTCTTCTCAATATTTCCTTTGCTCTTGTAAAGAGCTTTAAAAACAAAAAAGCCCCAAGCAAATTAAAACCTACTTCAGTGTAAAAGTTAAATATCATGATATTATATGCCAAAAAGCAGTATCAGGATGGTCAAATATCTCCCAGGCCACTCACAAGTAACTTTACCCTTCTCAGAAGTACGAGGAAGAAAACAGAAAGGAGCTAACACAGGAATGCTGTCGTAGGGCAAAAAATGTAAGACACGTAGGGATGTGTGGATAAGAACCACACATCCACGGTGGGTAGCATGACCTGAATGTTCAGATAACTTCTAAAGTTCTGATTAGTCAGTTCCTCTATACTGTTTTCTAAGAGAAGTCACAGAACCATTGTGAAGCAATTTGAGCTTTAAAATCTTCAAAGAAACACGTATACTCACCTGACTAGAATATTGTATGGCTTAATAGTAAAAGGATGTTTGTAAAGTGATTTGGGAATGCTGGAAATTAGAAATTCAGTGGTGAGATGAAAACTACTCTTGGGTATAGCGCATGAGGGAAAATGAAGGAAAAGAGTTCTGTATCTCCTGTACAGCCTGCCTTTCATTCTTCTACTTCTGATTGGTGAAAAATGCATTCTAGAATGCTTCTGGTTTGTTCTCTCTTAAAGTACTGGTGAAAGGGTTAAGGGAGGGAACAGGAGGGGGTAGGACTGATGCCTATCAACTTTGCAATGTTTAATATATCTTGGAAGTTTAAAGAAAACAATTACAGTGTCTCTTTTAGGATGGAAGTGGAATACTAACTTTTACTTCCTATATATATTTTTTTTAATATTAAGTTTTTACTTTACATGTATTGATTGTACATATTTATGGGGTACAGAAATACATTTCAATACATGTATACAATGTGTAATGATCAAATGAGGGTAATTAGTATATTCACCATTGCAAAAATTGTATCAGTTTTTTTGTGATGAGAATATTTTGTGATGAAAACATCTTCTAGCCATTTGAGTACAATAAATTATTCTTAATTATGAAGCCCAGCACTACTGTATACCACTAGAACTTATTTTTCCTATGTAACTGTACTTTTGTATCCATTAACCAACCATTGCCTATCGACCCCTCCGCCCTCGCCTTTCCAGTCCCTAGTAACCGCAATTCTATTCTCTACTTCTAAAAGCTCAACTTTTTTTTTTTGGCAGCTGGCCAGTAAAAAAGCTCAAATTTTTTCTTTAGTTCCCACATGAGAACATGTGGTATTTTTCCTTCTGTACCTGACTGATTTCACATAACATAATGTCTTCACATAACATAGTAATATAATGAAGCTGCAAATGACAGGACTTTGCTCTTTTTCATGGCTGAGTAGTATTCCCTTGTGTATATATACCACATTTTATCCATTCACCTGTTGATGGATACCTATGTTGATTCCATATCTTGGCTATTGTGAACAGGGCTGCAGTAAACATGGGAGCAGTTATCTCTTAGGTATGCTAATTTCCTTTCCTTTGGAAAAATACCCAGCAGTGGGATTGCTGGATCATATGGTAGTTCTATTTTTAGTTTTTTGAGGAAATCTCCATACTGTTTTCCATAATGGCTGTACTAATTTACATTCTCACCAACAGTGTGTAAGAGTTGCTTTTGACACTTCAGAAAAGAATATATATGAATGGCCAATAAGCACATAAAGAGATGTTTAAAATCATTTGTCATCAAGGAATTGTGAATTAAAACCACAATGAGATACCACCATGTACTCATTAGAATGACAAATTAAAAAGACTGACAATACCATTGTTGGTGAGGATATGGAAAAACTGCAACTCTCACAAATTGTTGGTAGTAATGTAAAATGGTCTAAGCACTTGGAAAACAGTCAGCAGTTTCTTAGGAAACATACACCTAACATATGATCCAGTTATTCCACTCCTAGGTATTTACCCAAAAAGGAATATTTGTCTGTACAAAGAGTTGTACATGAATGTTCAGAATAGTTTTATTTGTAATAGGCCCAGAAAGGAAAAACCCCAAATGTCAATCAACAGGTGAATGGATAAATCAAACAATGGTACAGCCAGACATTAGAATAATATCAGTGATAAAAAGGAAGGAATTTTGTTGATACACGCAATATAGATGAATCTTAAAATAATTATACTGAGTAGAAGAAGCCTGGCAAGAGAGTATATACTATATAATTCCACTTACACAAAACTGTGAAAATGTAGAAATTGGGACCCTCCTTCATTGCTGGTGGGGATATATAATAGTGCAGCTACCTTGGAAAACAATTTGGCAGTTCCTCAAAATATTAAACACAGACTTACCATATTACCCAGGAATCCCACCCCAAGGTGTGTATGCAAGAGAACTGAGAACATATGTCCGCACAAAAACTCATACACAAACATTCACAGCAGCACTATTCATAACAGCCAAATAGAAAAAACAACCCAATGTCCACCATCTGATGAATGGATAAACCGTGGTATATTCATACAATGAATATCACACAATGGAATATTATTCAGCAGTAAAAAAAATAAGGTACTGATACACAGTACAATATGGATGAACCTTGAAGATATTATGCTAAGTGAAAAAAGCCAGTACCAAAAGACCACAGAGGCACAGATATAATAAAGAGGTGAATGGAACATTACCCTTATCAGGCTGAGAACTTGATGGAGAAATCTCATCATATTCATCCATTAATTGCTTCAGTTTTTCAGCATGAACTTCCCCCAAATAGTGAGTCTGTGCAACAACTGGGAAGCTAAAAACCATGATGCGGAGATTACAAAATCTATTTTTGTCCAATACTCCACTCCTATTCACCTAAAACCAAGCACAATATCATTATACAGGTTAAATAATTCAAAGTTTATAATTATATCATCGACATAGACCAATTATCTGAAAATTCACAAAATTCATCTTCATTTTCATATTACTTTGCTTCCTGTAAATCTGAAAATAAAACCTAACTTTCTGAGCATGTCTTTTTATCCTGAAAAAATATTTTATTTATCTAAGAATAAATTATCCTAAATTTATATCACTGAATTTGATTAAAATTTTTTTTCTTTTTTTTTTTGTATTTCTTATGCTTCTTATACCTCTGAATTTGAAAATAGTACTCATTTGAACTAAGAGTTTAAAAATAAAGTTTTGGCGGCCGGCCTGGTGGTGCACTAGGTAGAGGGCGGTGCTCCCGCCGAGGGTTTGGATCACTGGTTGCGGGCGTGACACCGAGTGTTGCGATCCCGTTGCCGGTCACGGTCCCGTTGCCGGTCGCGGTACAGGCGCGACACTGAGGGTTGAGATCCCGTTACCGGTCACGAAAAAAGACATAAAGGAAAAAAAAAAACAATAATAAAGTTTTGGGGCCGGCCCGTGGCTCACTTGGGAGAGTACGGTGCTGGTAACACCAAGGCCACGGGTTCGGATCCCATATAGGGATGGCCGGTTTGCTCAATGGCTGAGCATGGTGCTGACAACACCAAGTCAAGGGTTAAGATCCCCTTACCAGTCATCTTTATAAAAAAAAAAAAAAAATAAATAAATAAATAAATAAAGTTTTGTTCAAATCAAAATATCAGCTTCCACAGAAATAATCCTATGATTTAGAAGCCAATAATTTTCATGTTCCTACTTGTGACAAAACCCACCAGTTGCCTCCCAACATACTTTTTCTTGTTCTTTAGTAACAAACCTTAGGCAGTGTACCTAGTTAAAAGACTACACCTTCTGGCCATGTGAATAAATTCCAGTCAATAAGGAGAAAGCTAAAGTGCTGTGAGGACTCCAGGCGGGCTCCTCCCCTCTCACTGCCGGAATGAAGATGCCGCAGCTGGAGTTCAAACAGTCATAAGAAAACACGAGGAAAGAAGCCAGTGCCTCAGAGCAAAAAGAGGGAGAATGTCTGGGTCCTTTCTGATGATATCATGGAGCTGTCATATCAGCCTTGCACTGCCTTTATCCAAACTTCTCTTAAGTGAGAGAATTAATAAACTCTTATGGGCTCAAGCCATAACAGAAAATAATCTCTGAATAAATTTAAAACCAACCACATAAGAATAACTAAAATGTCAATGTAGGGAAATGGGAAACTAACATTTTCTGAACACAATTATGAATGCTTTTTATTTTCTTATATTTTTATTTATTTTTCTACATTGAATATTACTTTAATCCTATAAAAGTTATTTAAAAAATTTCAATGGAACTCAAATTATTGCAGAGCCTCTTGATTGTCTCTTTTCACTAACATTAGCCCTTTGGGCTCTGGGGAATGAGAATACACTAGACACACTCACATATTTGATTTTGCTTAGTTTTCACAACTATGGCAAGGCAGAGATTACCACTCCCATTTTGCAGTTGAGAGGTAAAATCAACTTTCCTAGTAATTAATGGTGGAGCTGAGACTTGAAACCAAGTCCTCTCAATTCAAGACCAAGACATGATGACATGACTGTAATTACAGTACTTTAATCTCAACCAAATATCAACTAAAATGCAGTTTCCAAAAAGACTACCAATGGGGGAAAGCTAAGTGAGTTCTCTAAACCAGCATAGCTGGCCTTATGCTTCATTTAAGTAAATGTATCTAGTACTTTTGATATCCCAGATATCAGAGATTATAGAGATCCAATAGCTTACCCAGGTGACAGAGCATGAAAAGAGCAGAGTGGGAAAAGACTACTGTAATGTAGTGTACAAAAAACTATTCTTTCTCCAGTGTGCCATTATGCAGAAAAGATGATACAAATGAGAATGCACTGCACTGGATAGGGAATCAGATCTCATTTATAGGCTTAGTCCTGCTCATGACCAGCTAAGGAGAATCACTACTATTCTGGATCTCAGTTTCTTCATCTATACACTAAGGAAGTAAGACCACTAGACATTTTGCCTTCTATAATTCTATAATTCTATGCCTCAAAGAAAAGGCTAAGTCAAGGATAAAACTGCTCATATTGTGTTTATAACCTTCAATTATTGTAGAGAATGACTCTGAGGGTCTACAATATCTCTTGATTCATATTAATAGTTTCCTGCTCAAGCTTTATAAGATCTCTCTAATATTTACTACAAGAACAAAGGATACACTGGCTTTCTGGATACAGTGACAGAATGGCATGAGAAAAGAATATGAGTTTTAGAGTCAGAAAGACCTGAGCGTAAATCCTAACTCCCCAAATGTAAGTCAGCAAGTTATTTCCCTTCTCTAAGCTAGTCTCCTCATCCATCAAAAGGACAATATCACTTCCTTCACAGGGTTCTTGTAAGAATTAAATAACATGACATATGTGAAGTTTACACGCTACTTTTAAAAAGGTGCTTTACGAAACATTCCCTTTATTTTTAACGTACCGCATAATGTGAAATCCTGTTACTCAAACTGTAATACTACCCAAAGATACCTTTTATGAAAAGTATCTGGAAAAAGTTGTCTCTGTTCATTCAACGTGGTATCTACAAAGAAAATGAAGGGAAATAAGACAGAAGATACTATTTAACATTTAAGGTAATATTTTCAATCTTCAACTAGTATCATTTCATATAGTATCTCAAATCTTAATTTCCTGAGAGCTTGCAAGGCTACAGTAATAGCTCATTACAATGGCAATTTTAGTATGAAAACATTTGGTAAGCTTCTAGTATTTAATATGGTAACGTATTTTTATTCAGTCCAGAAAATACTCTGAATGAAAAGTTACTGGGGCACCAATAGGAGACTGTATTTTATGGGTATGATCTGGGGCACCAATACTGAAAGGCTGGGCTAAGAAAATCAGTCTTGGCATTTTTTTTTACAGCAAACAATCTTAGGAAATGCAGTCCACTTTGAGATAGTCACTGATTATAGCTACACCACTAATGTCATCCGAGAATCACATGAAGAAACCACAAACCATCGTTATCCGTGGTAGGCAAACTTCTTCCTCAGTTGGTACAAACACAACCACACAAATTTCACCAAATAAAGCTTAGACAAGCCCTTCAAAGCTATAATCATATTCATGTTAACTTCTAGAACTTTTGCTAAAAGTGCTTCTCACCATAATAATCTATGCCCAAATTATTACATTTACACTTGAGGTCTACACTTAAATCTAAAATTCCTATAACAGCTGAAATTTATTTTATAGAAGTTTACCAGTTTACAAATAGGCTGCCAATCATGTAACATCAAAATTGTACTTTCTATGCAGCCATTTATTTATTTATTTATTTATTTAAAAAGATGACCGGTAAGGGGATCTTAACCCTTGACTTGGTGTTGTCAGCACCATGCTCACCCAGTGAGCAAACCGGCCATCCCTATATGGGATCCGAACCCGTGGCCTTGGTGTTATCAGCACCGCACTCTCCCGAGTGAGCCACAGGCCGGCCCCTCTATGCAGCCATTTAAATGATTGAGTTGGAACTACATGTAATGTCATGGAGAAATGTCCATGATATGTTAGGGGAAAAAAACCAAGGTCTATCCATTCATCCATCCATCTGCTGATCTATCAATCATAAAATCCTATTGAGTATAAACAACCCAACATACAAAAGCCCAAATTAAAAATATACATATGTATCTACTGTAAGGAAGGAGTTAATGCAGATAGCCTTCATTTCCTTTCTTGGGGAAGGGGGGAGGGCAGAAGGCAGGTGACACTTGGACCTCTGAGAAAAGAGCCTAATGATATTTGCTAGGACATAAAGAACTTATCTCTAAAATGTCCTTAGCAAGATGTCCCTGGCTAAGGATTACTTATACAGATTACCAGAATCTATGAGGCACAGCTCCCTGAAGAATGCTACATAAGCTATACAACTCTCTGTGGCATAATATGGAAATGATTAACAATTTAAACACTCCCACTGTATGAAGTGACCCTGTAAACCTCACTTAAAAACCTTATCTATGGGCTGGCGCAGCGGCCCTCCCGCCGAGGGTTTGGATCCCATGTGGAAACCGGTTCCTGCTCACTGGCTGAGCGCGAGGTGGGTGCAACACCGAGGGTTGTGATCCCGTTGCCAGTCCCCAGTACGGGCGCGACACCAAGGGTTGCGATCCCGTTACCGGTCAGTAAAAAAAAGACAAAAAAGGAAACAAAACAAAACAACAAAAAAAACCCTTATCTATTATTCTGGGCCAGAGATATATGTCCAACATGGGAAAACATGATCTTAGGAGTCAACTTTCATGTTACCAGACATCTCTGTGCTTCATCTGAGTCTCCTGATTTCCTGTATCCTTGAAATAATTAGTAAACCTTGAAATTGGGTAATACAGTTATCATTATCTGTGGGGATTGATTCTAGGATCCCCCCGCCGCTGAGGATTTCAAAATCTCTGGATGCTTAAGTCCCTGAGCATGTATTTGCATATAACCTCTGCACATCCTCCCATATATTTTAAATAATTTCTAGATTACTTATAATACTTAATAGAGTGTAAATGCTATGTAAAGTGTTGTTATGCTGTATCTTTTAATATTTTATTGCTGACCAGTGTGGGGATTGTACTGTTATTTTTTATTGGGTTTTTTTTTTTCCCCTGAATATTTTCTGATCTGTGGTTGGTTGAATCTGCAGATGAGAACCTGAGGATAGGGAGGGCCAGTTGTATTACTGATTCATGAGTCTGATTTGGCAGCTTGATATTGTGTGTTAGCTCAAGATCCATAGAAAAAATCTGAAAAAATATACACTAAACTTAATGGGGTTGGGGATTGGAAAATGGAGTTAGGAAAGTAGGAGGGGAGAACATTTAACATTTTGCTCTCTGTACATCTGTATTAACTTTTTGCAAAAAACATATATGACTGGGCTGGCCCGTGGCTCACTCGGGAGAGTATGGTGCTGATAACACCAAGGCCCCGGGTTCGGATCCCATATAGGGATGGCCGGTTTGCTCACTGGCTGAGCGTGGTGCTGACAACACCAAGTCAAGGGTTAAGATCACCTTACCGGTCACCTTTAAAAAAAAAAACCAAAAAACATTTATGACTTTGTAATTAAAAACTCCATAAATATTTAAGTTATACTGGGTATCTTCAAACTAATTTCAGTACCAGTGCATAGATTTAAAAAGTTTGCTTAAAAATATTATGTGCTGAAGATAGTAATTATAAATCAGAAATATTTTAGAAAGGACTTGAATAGTTAAAAATGTAACTCTATTATAGGTGGTATCTCAATTTATTTTGAGTTGTTTTGAAATATATAATTTAATTACCTTTGATTCTAAAGTCAGCAAGGTAAAAAGGTTAACTACAAAGCTTTTCAGGACTCACTTTGATTCAGAATTAATGTACACAAACTGACCATGATGATGTGACACTGACTTTTGTATTAAAAATCTTTAATAAGAACAGGTAAATATTGTCTTTTGGTGACAACCAAAACAGTACAGATGGAAACTTTACTGAAGACCTGTCATTTAGAAGTTCAAGATACCCTACAAAAACTCAAAAACCACAAACAAAACAAAAAAGAAAACTAGAAGTTCAAGATATCCTAAAATAGAAGAATGATTTCTCTCCCAGTTCAACACTTAATACCAGACTTTTCATTTCTTTTTTTTTTCCTTTTTTGGATCGCAACCCTCGGTGTTGCACCCGTACCGGGGACCGGCAACGGGATCGCAACCCTCGGTGTTGCACCCACACCACGCTCAGCCAGTGAGCGGGAACCGGTCTCCACATGGGATCCGAACCCTCGGTGGGAGCGCCGCTGCACTCCCAAGCGGCGCACTCTCCAGTGCGCCACCGGGCCGGCCCCAGACTTTTCATTTCTAAAAGGCAATGTTGTAAGTAAAAGTAATAAATCTGGGGTCACTTTTAACTCCTTCACCCACCAAGCTCTTTATTTTTCTTTCTTTCTATTAAGCAGTATCATATTCCCAAACTCAAAATCTCAGCCGTTTTTCTTCCTATCAAGTCCCGAATCAAGTCTATTTTGGCTTTATAATATTTTTTCAAAGCTATCCCTTCATTTTTCAATTCTCATAACACTACCTAGTTCAAGTTCTCCATGCCTTTGGGCTTTATTAAACTTTATTGCTATTTATTATTTTGTTTTCAAGGTACTATGGTGGGTACTGTGGGAAGGGATAGGAAAAAAAAAGAGAGATGAACATTTATTGAATGCCTTCTGTGTGTCAAACACGAGAATAGATTATTCTTTCGTCTTTTACCTCTGCAAGGTAAGTAGGATTTCCCATATTTTGAAGATTAGGATATTGAGATTTAAAAAAATTAAAATATCTTGCCATGCATGTTATTTGATAGAGCCAGATCTTAAGCCTTGGCTTATCTTGACTTTTTCTATTAAATGCACATAGCTGTTCCACACACTGGGATTAGTAAATGAACAAGACAGCTGCTAATACTGAAGAATTTACAACTTTGCAAAAATGATATGCAAAGAACTATGATGCAAGACAGAAATGTGTTAAGTGCTATAAGATATAAGAAGGTATGAAGTCTTCTTGCTGACAGCTTGGGAAAGGATTTATGAAGAATGGACTTGGAATTGACCCTTAAGAGACGGGTAAAATTTAGAGAAAATGAAAAATGAGTAAAGAAAGGGTATTCTGGAAGAGGTAAGGGCATTAGAGAAGGCATTTCTGCTTCAGATAAAACAACATATGCATAAAGGTAGTAAAAGACATTGCTAAAGGTGGGATGGGGCCAACTCATAATAAGCCTTATTTAGGCATTTGGATTTAATTTTGCAGTCAATAGGGGAAGAGAGACTCAAAATAGGCATATTGTTAGGAAGCTGTTGCAGGCAAGGGATTATTGGGCTGTACCAAAGGAGTGGCAGTGAAAATAGAAAGGAGGTGAAGAACTTAAAAGACATTCTCAAGGTAGAATCAAAGGAATCTGTGATAGCTGGGAAGAGAGCAAGAAGGAGAGAGAGAGGGGAAACACAGATAATTCTAAGGCTTTGACCCTGGGTTAAGTTTTCGTCAGAGAGTAATGAAGAGGATGAAGAGTTATTATTGTTATTCTTCAGAAGGAGGGAAGTAGGGAGCAGACTGGAAGCATTAAGTGTTCAAAAAGATGGTGAATTTGATTTTAGAATAAACTCAGATTCTATCAAATTCATATCTTTCACATTTGTCCTTTCCTCTCCCATTCCCGTGTTCAATTTCTTCTGTGTGAAAGTGGGTTTAAATAACTTGCAGATGTTCTATGTATCTTAAAATTCCTTGCAAATTAAAGTAGCTGGGAACTTGAACTAACTGTATACATATCAAACTTCAGTGCACATGGTAAGCAACAGGAACTATTAGAGAAAAGAAAGAAGGCTTAGTAGTAAATTCTAGCTGTTTTAGAAATTTTCCCTCAGAAAATTTTGATGGTACTTCTATTCCATTTGCATAGTGATTACTATTTACTCATTACAAAGGTTGTAGAATTATATAGTTTGAAGAATACAGACTGTGATTACTGTGGGGTAAAATGCAA